ACAGGGGTCCTGCAGGCATGGGGTCTTCAGTGGCCTTGTCCAGGTGCTGGGTTCTCAGAGGGGGCGGGCTGTGTGGAAGTTAGTTCTAGGGAGGGTGGAGAAACTGCAAACCATAAGCAATTGTTGCCAGCAGAGTGAATCACTGCCACCGGGGTTAATGTTAGGATTAGGAGTGGGGGAAGAAAAGGATGGGGATAGGAAACAAAAATACAAAATAGGGAGAAAGCAACCCGTACTTTAGCTAGCACTCCTTCGGGACAGATCGTGACAGGCTTTCAGCTAGCAGAGGAGAGACTAGTTCCCTGAATCCCAGTTCCAGCAGCGTGCAGGAGGCAGATTTGGGGATGAGGCATTCAGTCTTTGTTTTGTTTTTGGTACTGGGGATTGAACTCCAGTCTTGGCACTTGCAAGGCAGGCCAGCAAACCGCTGAGCTAAATCCCCAGCCTGAGGCATTCAGTCTTGAAAGGGAAGTGCAGGGTCCACGGGGGTTCACTAATATGCGCTTTCGGCCGTTCGAGGGGGGAAGTGTTGAGTAGGACGGAATTCACGGGGGTGGTGGTTATTCACTGTCGCTCAGGATTTAACGTTTCCGGAAGAACATCCAGAACTGTTCCTAACAGTTAACCCAAGTGGCCCCTTGGAGCCCACCCTGTTGATGCGGAACAGACCATGAGGTGGAGACACCAGACCCACCTTCCCTGGTGTGGAGGAAAGGAGCAAGTAGCTCCGGGAGATAGCAGTGCTAAAATGCAGTCCTCACACCTGTGTGAGAGCCGCTGTCCCGCTCTGCCCTGGAGCGCACAGGGCAGCTTCCTCTGCTAGCTCGGCAAGAGCTGCCCCGGTGCAGAGCAGCGAGCATCCCTGCACGGGCTGGCTGTAGGGTCCTCTACAAGCTAGAGCAAGAGGAGAGCTCTCGAAGGTGGCCAGTCGGGAGCACGAACCACTGAGGGCGAGGCAGACACTGAGTGCAGTGGGCAGCAAGGCCAAAGAGCCCTCAGGGCATCTTGGCCTTTTGCCTCCAGGGATCTGTGTCGGGGGGATAACCGATTAAATCGATTCTAAAAGCAAGAGAGGCAGATAATTAATTAACGTATTCATGTAATCAGACAGAAGCAAGACCTTGTGGGTGGAAGGCTGACATCAGGCCCTGCGTCCAGTTCCCAGGTCAGAGTCCGTTGATCGAATGGGAGAACTCTACCCCTCGCTGCATACACATGCAATAAACTTGCTCTTTTTTTTTTTTTTTTGGAACCACGAATAGAACTCTGGACCTTGTGCTTGGGAGGCAGGTGGTGGCACCACTGAGCTAAATCCCCGGCCCTGCACTAAACTTTCTTCAGCCCTTTACTGAGAAGACCTAGAGCACACAGAACAACTGTGTGTGCTGGTCAAAGAAAACATCCAGACCTTTCAAGGATTATTAGAGTCTCTGCTTAGAGCAGGACTCGCATAGCACCAGTGATAAGTGGTGCTTTAGCAGGAATCTTTTTTACACCCTGTGATTACTTTCCCAATTATTTATAAATGGAATGAACATTCTTAGAGAATATTGGTTCTCTGACCTGTGAAGTAAGGGTCAAGAGGAACGTCTTCAACTATTCTGCATGACTGAAGTGGTAAATCAAAGACAATATTGTATTCCTGGATGAAGGAAAGGAGTTAGTGGCACCAAAAAGATTTGAACCATGCCCTAGTGGTGTCCTGTTATATTCTCCTTCAATTTACCTTTCTAGACCCTGAAATAACCAGGATGGTTATAGCTCAAACTGTGACAGACTAGCTGTGACAAGCCAGCCCTGTAGCCAAGAACTAAGAAAACTGGTCAATTAACCTGCACTCCCTCTCTCTCTCCCTCCTGTCCTTCCTTTGTTCAGTACTAGGGATTGAACCCAGGGCCTATGTGCTGAGCTACACCCTCAGCCTTTTTATTTTGAGACAATGTCTTATTAAATTGCCCAGGCTGGCCTCATACTTGTGACCCTCCTTCCTCAGACTCCTGACTAGTGGGATTATAGGTGTGCATCACCACCCTTGGCTCAAATAGCTTCTTCCTCTTCTTTTTTTTTTTTTTTTTTTTTTTTTGGTACCGGGGATTGAACTCGGGTCTTTGCACTTGCGAGGCAGGCCACCAAACCGCTGAGCTAAATCCCCGGCCCCATCAAATAGCCTTTTTAATCTGTTGGCAAGAATCAAGACAGTGAAGACTCAAGGGACCAGCATTCTAAGGAAAAGGGGAGCCTAGAAGGGAGTTTGACATTTAGCACCTCTTTTCATGAGGCGCTTACTGATTAGTATGTAGGGCCTAGAGATCTAGAAGCTGAACAGCAGAAAACCTGAAGAGGACAGCTGTGACTGAGTACTGAGAGAATAAAGAGGCGTTTTAGGTGTCTCATGGGCCTAGTGGGACAAAAACTGGCCTGCATGGCTCACCGAGTAGGAGGAGCTCCTCTGAATACAGCCAGGCTGTGGCAGAAACCTCAGACGTTTATGCCCCGAGAGAAAGCTAACTCAGAACACATCAGTCTTTTAAAACAAAACCCGCCTCTCCTCAGTGGTGTGTCAGACTACAGATTACCTGTCGCTACCCTGACTGCTTGCTAGAAGGAAAGTCAATCATTTGGTGAGGGGTGGTGGTGGTAATATTCCATACACGGCATTAACTGTGGGATTCCCTCCTTGTATTTCAGACCCTCCTTTAAGATGTCTCCTTGTGGAAGTACAACCTCTCAGAGTTCTTCTGGTGAGAGTTTGTTAGTAATGAGCCCTTTCCATTTTTAGTTGCATCAGTGTATGTAGCTGATTTAAAAAATGGACAAAAATCCTGAACAGACCTCTCACCAGAGGTACACACATTGCAGGTAAATGTATGCTTAACATTATGTCACTAGGGAATTTCAAATTGGAAAGACAAGACACCATTGTTACCTATTGGAGTTACCCCAATCCAGAGAACACTGCCAACATCTGGGGCTCCTGATGATGTGCAGCAACAAAACCTTATGCATTGTCGGTGGAAAGGCAAAATGACACAGCCATTTTGGTAACAACTGGCATTTTCTCACTTTTACCACACAGTTCAGCAGTAGTGCTCTTTGCTAATTTTCCAAATGAGTAGAAAACATATGTCCATATAAAACCTGCATATGGGTATTTAGACCACCTTCCTTCCTTCCTTCCTTCCTTCCTTCCTTCCTTCCTTCCTTCCTTCCTTCCTTCCTTTCTTCCTTCCTTTCTTTCTTTCTTTCTTTCTTTCTTTCTTTTTGGTACTGGGGATTGAACTCGGGTCCTTGCGCTTGCAAGGCAGGCCACCGAACCACTGAGCTAAATCCCCAGCCTTTATTTATTTTTATTAAAAAAATTTTTTGTTGTGGTACCGGGGATGGAACTTAGGACCTCAGGACCTTGTATTTGAAAAGCAGGCTGAGTTAAATCCCTGGCCTCATAGCAGTTTTATTTATAGCTTTCAAGCTTGGATGGAAACAAGATGTCCTTCAGTAGATGAAATGGATAAAACTATAGTATATCTGAATGGTGGAATACTATTCAGTGTTAAAAAGAAATGCACTGGGGCTGGGGATTTAGCTCAGTGGCTCCACTGCCTGCCTTGCAAGCGCAAGGTCCTGAGTTCAATCCCCGGCACCAAGAATAAATAAGTAAATAAATGAATGAAAAGAAATGCACTATCAATTCATGGAGAACCCTAAATGCATATTAATAAATAAAAGAGGTTGATCTGAAAAGGCTACATAGTTTATTATTTCAACTATATGTTATTCTGGAGAAGGTAAAAAGTATGGGAAACTGGGCATGGTGGTGTATACCTGTAATTCTGGCATGTGAGAGGTTGAGGCAAAACAGTCACTGTGAGTTCAAGGCCAGCCTGAGCTCTATAGTGAGTTTGAGGTCAGCCTGAATTACATAGCAGAAAAACTCGTAAGAGTGAGAGGGAAAGGACAGGTATCCTGAAACACAGGGGATAGTGCAGGCAAAGGGGTGTAGTGTTGAATCTCATGGGATGTTCTGGGAGGAATAAGAGCTTGTATTTCCTACTTAGCCCACAGTCAATGTTTTCCACCTAGAACATTTCTTCATAAGCTGTCTCTCAGTGCAATGCTTTTCCACCAACATATATATTGGAAAATATGTTTATGTCCCTAAACATTATAAACTTTTGTGTCTTTTTTTTTGATACAGGGTCTTGATATGTAATTCATGCTGGTCTTGAATTCACTGTTGTACATTGCACAGGCCTTAAATTCATGGTGACCCTTCTGCCTCTGCCTCCCAATGCTAGGATTACAGGTGTGCACCATCATACCCAGCTACAAAATTTTAGACAAGGTAATGAGGGGCTCAGTGGAGAAAGTCTACTGTGGTTTGCGTGTGACGTGTCCCCCCCATTTCACACCCAAACTACACTGGCCTGCATTTTAGAGGCTTGGTCCCCAGCATGTGGTCTTCTTAGAAAGTGATGGAAACCTGAAGAATTGGCCTAGGGGAGGAAGCTAAGTCCCTAAGGGTGTGCCCATAAAGGGGATTGTGGGGCCCTACCTCTTCTTTGCTCTTTGCTCCCCAGAAGCCTTGAGAGCAGCTTGCTCCACAAAGTGCTCCCACCATGATGTGCTGCCTAGCTACAAGCCCAAGCAACAGGGCCAACCAGCCACAAACTGAAACCTCCAAAATGTGAGCCACAATGGGCCTCTCCTCCTTTTTAAAATTGATTATCTCAGGTATTTCGTTATAGTACCAGAAACAGACTAACACAAAGTCTCTCCAGTTACAACTCATGTCACTTCAGAGTTCACAGAAAACAACTGCAGAGGATTTGAAAGTCAGCTAAGGGGACAGACAAAGCAGAATCACATTAATTGGCAAGTGACCAAGACCAAGAATTATTATTTTAAACTTTACATTCATGTTATACCACAATTAGATACACAAATACAACATTTAAAAATATTTTATCTCTTAAAGTGTTAGTTTGCTGTTTATGCACAAGCATTTTACTATGTTTTAAGTTTTAAGAAATTGAGGACTTGGGATAGAGATGCAGAATACCAAAAAATGTCCCATTTCAGTCAATGTGAATGGGTTCCCTGAATAATTTTTTCATGCAAACAGTGTTAGGTGGAAAGGGGTAGAGGTAGACTTTGCATGACCAGTGCAGGAGCTTGGACTTCAGATGGTAGCGAGTTAGGGGTTTTGTGCCCAGCAGTAGGCACTGACTCCAGTGTGCAGAGAGCCTGAAGTAGGAGCCGACAACTGACACGGGTAGGTGACCGGAAGGCCATGGGGATGGAGGTGAGGGGACCAGAGAGGCAATTCAGACGCTGAATGGTGGATGGGAAGATGCCAAGGGCGAAAGTCAGGAAGTCAACTAGAAAAGTAATGCGTAAGTGGCCATGGCACAGTAGCCAGAGCCAGAGACCTCAAAGGAGAAAGAAGAAGGATTCAGAGGAGCAGCAGCAACAGGTTTTGTGGCACAGGGCTGACAGGAAGTGACTGGTTTTAGATGCATCATTGTCTGGGGAGGTTCTTCTGGGGCTCTTCCCTAACCAACCTGATAGTCCACGTGGCCCCTCCCACCGGGCTTGGACATTGGGGTTGCCATGTGAAAATTGATTCTTGCTGGAACAAGCTTTTTAGAGGAAAAACAAAATTGACCGGAGAATTCCTTCTAACCTACTCTTCCCTAATTTGTCGCCAGGCCTCGCCAAGGGGTACAGTTCTCTCTGGCGAGGGGCAGTCAGGAAGGATGCTTTTGTTATAGGGGGAAGAGAGCCACCTGGAGAATTGTAGATTCTGCCTTTACAAACCTCACCGTGCATAAGAAGTTCCATTTCCGTTACTTAAAAACAACCCACATTGCCTCTCTGGATCCTGGTAAATTGGTGAGGGTTTAGATATAATATTCTAGCCTTAAATTCATGTTAACCATATTAGATCCTGGTAAAGAAGTGGGAAGTCAGTTTTGCTTTTTTTGAGGGGGTGGTATTAGTCTGCAATAATAGGGATTTTTCGGTGGAGGATTTAGCTCAGTGGGGCCGCTGTTTGCTTTGTAAGCATAAGGTCCTGAGTTCAATCCCTGGTACCAAAAAAAAGGGGGGGCGGATTTTTGTCTGCTTTACTCATTGATAGAGTCTACATTCTAGAACAGTCCTGAAATATGTTGGAGCTTCATACTTGAATCATTTGAGAGTCAGTCTTTTAGCAAGTTGAGTTTCCTGTTTCCTGTCTGTTTCTAGAGCCTGGTGCTGTGCAAATCCATCTCCTGCCTCACTGGCTCAGCTCGTGATTCTTGGTGTGGCCATGAGTTGGTGGCCTGGGCCACAGTAGGTGGCAGGGTTCTGAGCGCTGGACCTGCTATAGAAGGCAAACACACTTTCTTCCGCAGAAGGACTTGCACCACGCACCGGGGAATCTGTGCCTGGCTGCTCAGCCCCTCTGCGGTGCCCAGAAGTAGTAGGAGTGATTGCTGCACGCATGCCCTGAGCCTGGCCCTGATGCTGCTTGTGCATCTGTGCCCTGGATGATTGCATTGGTCTCTAAGGATTCCCAGTGCAGACCCCGTCCGTATCCCACACCCAGCACAGGGCCCATCATCAGTAAGTATTTGTTGGATGAGGACTGAAGAAATCCGGGGCTGAATATTGTCACTAGGTTGATGTCAGTTTTAAAATATTCTCTGGATCCTTGATAGATTGTCTCAAGCAGAGAAAGATCCATTTATGCTACCGATAGTCTTAAACCCTCAGACACGAGTGTCGTTCTGCCTGGTGTTGCTTTGGGAATACGGTATGGGGGCTTAGCCTTTGGGACAGAGCTACCCAGCCACCCCCTCTCACTCTGTGTTACGTGGTGCCACCCCCCAGGTCACAGTTCTCTGGACCACCGAAACCAGCATCTCTGGTTTCCCGTCTGAGCTGGCTGTGCGAATGTTTGCCAGATTCTTTTCATAGGTTTGGAAGAAACCTAGTTGTGGGTTCCAGCACTGCCTTGCTCCCAGGGAAAGCCTTTAAAACTCAATTCTTAAGGCATTCTAAGAGGTTCATTCATTCGTTCATTCCCTGCTGCTTCCCTGCCCCATCCTAGGGTCTGGGTGGACTGCTGTGGAGAGGAAACCGGGCTCAGTCCTGCCGGCTCCCTCCCCACCCATTCTACTGGATTTCTTCCACCCTTGCTATGCCTGGCGACCCTGAGACTTCTGCATTGAATACTCACGACCAGGCCACATGCCCCCAGACCCTCCCTCCAAACACAGTGTGCTTGCATGGACTGCAAACTTCAAGTATTAAGACAGAGGCCAGCAGGCGGCCGGCGACTTTGCCCTGTGGCAATGCTCCTGCTTTGCAACCGGCAAGGTTCTGAGTTCAATCCAGAAAACAAGCAGACAAAAAAGGACAGAGGTCAGCAGCAAATTAACCGCAGTTGTCCAGTTTTGCTTTACTGGAACATTGCTCTGCATAAAATAAATATTAATTTACCCAATTCTTAATCATGTGATAAGTACTATTAAGTTAACAGATATTTTTACAGAACAGTAAGCTAAATTTGCCTGGAGTGAAATGCAGCAAAATACTTCAGTGATCTGACATCTGAAATACATCTCAGCTATTTTATGTTTCCTGGGGTAAGGCAAAAGTGTGCTTGAAATATTTACTTTGTCCCCAAAGTTTAATGACACTGAAAATTAAGGCCCTACCCTTGGTTGGCTCTTGTTCTTATGTCCTTTTGCTTGTCCAAAATCTTTGGCTATTTCAAGCACAAGAATGCAAGTACCATATGATGATATCCCTCATATGTGGATTCTAAAGAAGTTGATCTCATAGAAGTTGAAACTAGAATGAGGGAATCATAGGAAAATATTGATCAACCGGTGCTAAGCTGCAGTTAGCATAGTTTTTGTTTTTTTGGGGTTTTTTTTTTTGGTACCAGAGATTGAACTCAGGACCGTGGGCTTGTGAGGCAAGTACAGTGCCACTGAGCTAAATCCCCGGCCCTCGAAGCTGCAGTTAGATTGGAGTAAGAAATTCTGGCATGCTGTCGCACTGTAGGGGGACTTTGGCTAGTGATTGTGTTCTGTGTATCTCAGAAAGCTGGAAGAAAGGATTTTGCCTGTTTTTGCCATAAAAACATGATAAATGTTGGAGGCCGTAGATATATTTAACCTGATTACACGATGTATACATATATTAAAGTGTTGCTCGGTATACCATTAATATGTATAATTTTCCTATTTTTATGTATCTGTGGAAAATAAGTTTGATTTTAAAAACCCCACAATCAGCCAATTCAGTCTCAGCCTTCCATTGTCCATTCAGTATTTACGACAGCAAGGAACTCTTGAAGGTAATCCAAGAACTGCTTTACTCTCCGTCGCTCTTCCCCACATTTTTGCTGTGAAAAGAAGAGATAAAAAGTGTCACCGGAGCGATCAGTTTCTGTAGAAATAGGTACAGTCAGACAAACATGGTTCCTGTGGAATGTTTGTAACTTACTTTTTGGAGGTCAATGTGTTTTTTAATTAAAGACAAATTTTGGAATAGTTCTTCTAAAGCATCCCCTTGAGTGGTTTGATTCTTCAGTGTGTTTATTCCCTGGAAGATTTCTTCAACGCATAGTTGGTGCTGAATGAGGACGATTTAAAAAATAGAAATAATCTAAACAAGGCATTAAAAACTTGGTCCCAAAACAAAACTTGGTCCATTAACCATCACACAATGCATACATATCTCAAAACATCATATTGTACACTGCAAATGTATACAATTTTAATTTGTCAGTTAAAATTTTGGTCTAAAACATTAGGCTTTATTTTGTGGTGTTTTTCTTTCCCCACAGAGTTTTTGCATGTTACTTTTCCAAGTGGTAAACCACCTCGTATGGAGATGACGTTTTTAACAGACAGGTGCAGTTTATATAATTACTAAGGAGACATATAAAAGATACTACAAAAACCTCTTAACTAAGACTGATAATGCAATTACATTATTAACTGAACTCAGATCAGTGCTTTCCTTCACAGTTCACATTGGTAATGATATTCTATTTAGAGTTACGAAATAAGGTATTTTACGTTTGCTAGTGACCGTGATATATTTCAAATGTATATGATCCCGTTATACAGTCATAATCATTGAGCTATGTGGGCATTAGTATTTTTTTACTTTGGGGGCATACCGGGGATCAAACTCAGGACCTTGCACCTGCGAGGCAGGCACCGTGCGGCTGAGCTAAAACCCTGGTCTTATGTGGACCTTATTGAGAGGGCAGTTGTATATTTTAATGTCTGCTGATCATGACCGTGAAAACATAACCCTAGGTTACTAATGTTCTTAAAAGACGTTACGTGGAGGAAGCCCACAGACAGCCCCACAGGATTCTAGTGGGCACCTGTCACTCTGCATAGAATTCTCCCCTGACAGGAGGTCTTTGGGTTGGAGAAATGACACTATCACCAACAGGCCTTGTTCGCTTATACAATGGCTTTTCCTAGCTAGAAAGTCATTGCTAGTATTTATACATGCACATCCACTCCATATAAAAATGAAATAGAGAAAATTCAGTAGTTGCAATGAAAACTAAGGACTTAACAGCTTAAAATATGAAATTTACTATATTCATATCATTTTACTGAATCATGATTTAACTTACGTTTTTATGTGCAGGAACTGAAATCCTCAGTGTCTGAAAAGGAAAAGATAAAAAATCATTTTTAAAGCACTCTTTTTATTTTTGGTACCGGGGATCAAACCTGGGTCCTAGTGCTTGCGAGGCAGGCGCCAGAACCACTGAGCTAAATCCCTTGCCCTTTAAAGCACTCTTAACATTCACAACACTTAATAGAATGCTTGCGATTGATGTAGTTTTTATCTATATGCTGCTGACATGCGCATAATTTCATTACTTGTGACAGATATTTACACACAGTAAATGCCTGCACAAATGATTGTTTTGCACTTCAAAGAACTGTGGAAATAAAAACAGTTACCTCATTGCCTATCAGCAGAGTTCGATGAGTAGAAAGCAGAGTCAAGGTCTCTTTGACAAGCGTCCTCATAGAAGTTCCCATGGTGGCGGGACGAACATACACCGCCCCCAGAACTAGCAGCCCCAAAAGCAGAAGCATTCTCATGGCTCCAAAAGCTCAGCGTTCACCTTCAGCAAAGAAAGTGCGTGGCGCAAGATTGCATCCCCAACCAATTTATTCTTGCTTTGAGGAAATGAATAATTTCTAACAATCAGATAGAGAATATCTAATATTGGCAAAGAGTGAAACTAAATGTTTCCAATGCCTTGTATCTTTGAAATATACGTACATGTATGTACGTGTGTGTGTGTGTGTGTGTGTGTGTGTGTGTGTGTGTGAGAGAGAGAGAGAGAGAGAGAGAGAGAGTGAGAGAGAGAGAGAGAGCGAGGTACTGGGGATCAAATCCAGGGTCTTTGCACTGTGTTACATTACCAGCCCTTTTGAGAGGAGGTCTCAGGAAGTTGCCTAGGCTGGGTTTAAACTTGTAATTGTCTAGCCTCAGATGCTCAGAGTGAATTTTTATCTCTTCATCATAAAAATCACGAATTTTCCCCCTTTAAAAAAACTTTGTTTCTTAAAATCCCTACTTTCCTCCCCTTTAAAAACTTTCTATGACAAAAGAAAATGTTTGAGTTGATAACATCTTTGCCCTATAAAAGACTGAATTTCTTTTTAAAAGAGGTGTATTAAAAGAAATGTAATATTAAATCATTAAACAGGATTTTATGCTAAATACATAAACACGGGAGATTCTTTTCAGGTCAGCTAAATTCTACCATGATAGTAGCTCAACAGATCTGTCACAAAAGGAATTGAAAATACTAATGGGAAGATACTAATTAAAGTAGAGACCTGGGCAGAAGGGGCAAACGGTGTTCAGTAGGGTCTTTTCTCTTCTTTTCCTTGTCTTACCCTCTCCTCTCCTCTCCTTCTGATGCAAGGTCTAGATTCCAAGTTGTCCTTGACTCACCAGGTAGTGCAGGCTGACCTTAAACCTGCTGCTGTGACCCTCACCCCTCCAGTAGCTGGGATTACAGGTAGGCACTACAACACCCGGCTTCAACAGTGGCTCTGTTAGGGTCCTTTTTGTTCCCGGGACCAAGCACTGCACCCAAAGTGGAGACAAGCCAAGAATTCTCAGGCTCCTGTAACCAAAAGCCTGGGATGGAGGTGCCTTCATGTCCCGCTCGCTTGGCGGCTGCTCTCCCCTGACTCCATCCTCAAACAGCTTCCCACTGTGACCCCTAGGACGCCGGATTTCTGGGTCTACCCGTATGGAGTCACGAACAGCGGGACAAAGACAGTTTTGCTCTGTTGATTATTCATTGAAACAGTCTCTTTGTAACAAGTGCCCCGCATTTACCCCGTGGCTTCCCCCGAGCCTGAGTTGGAGGTCGACTTGATCTCACGCAAAGTCACAACTGAGGACATTGGGGTCCTAGGAAGTAGTAGGAAGGACACACGCTGGGGCGGCAACCCAGAAATGTCTGTCAAAGGCGCGGGACTCACGCGGCCTTCAACGTTTGTCTCTGCACCGTGGGTGGGCTCAGCGCGAGTGTGTGTGAGCAGAGCAGGCAGCCTTTGGAACTCTATTGGGAATAGTTTGGTGTTTAAATCCCTCCCGCCTTTTTTCCCCCCTTTGGTGCTGGGGATCGAACTCAGGACTCAGGCAGGACCTTGCGCTTGCGAGGCAGGCGTCAGAACCACTGAGCTAAGTCACTGGCCCCGGCGTGATTAAATTCTATCACAGGGCTGCACGGCTCGGACGGGGGCGGACTGAGATACAATGTGCAAGCCTTAGCTAAGCAAGGGGAAAGCACCGACCCCTCTGTATTTCGGGGGGAGTAACGCGAACCGGCTATCAGGGTGAGCTAAAGCGGCCAGGGGAAGTGGTCCTGAAAATGAGGGTGGCCGCGTGACCCGTCCAGAGGTGGCAGGACCTGCTCAGCTCCGGCCGCATGTTGCCGTGTTCACGCAGTTTTTCCAGGAAGCCTGAACTTCTGATGACTGCGTACGATCTGCTGAGTTTTAAATGTCGCCAGCTGGACACAGGGTATTTCGCAGCCTCTGGTTTACAGAATAATGGTGGGGTTCCTATTGGAGGGCTAATTCCAAGATATAATTCCTCTTCAGAATCAAATTTCTTTACATTTTGGGCCCGAGGATTTAGCTCAGCGGCACTGTGCCTGCCTCACAAGTGCAGGGTCCTGAGCTCCATCCCGGGTACCAAAAAAAAAAAAAAAAAAAGTATTCGAATTCACATAACAAAATTTACCCCTGTAACCAGTTCAAGTGTGCAGTTCATGAGTGTTAAGCACATTTATAATATTGTATGACAGATCTCCAAACTCTTTTCATCTTGGAAAACCACAATTCTATGTCCATTACAATAAATGCCAATCCCCCTTGCCCTAGCACCTGCAAACACTCTTCTACTCAGTGTGTACACGTTTGATTCCTCCGAGGACTCATAACCGTGCGGTATTTGTCTTTCTGTTGCCAGCTTGTTCAGTGATGATGTCATAATGTCAGTCTTCAAGGCCGATCTATGTTGTAGCATGCCTGAAAATCTCCTTTTTAAAATAATACTATAATATTCTAAAGAATATAATATTCTATTGTATGTATAAACCTTTAAAAAGTTCAGGTGTCTGTTGATGGATACTTTAGCTTGCTTCCAACTTTCAGATGAGTAATGTTACCTATGAACCTGGGTGTATGGCGTTGTATTTTTTTTTTTTTCCTTTTTCCATTTATGTGTCTTAAGTTGAGGTCTCACAGTGTTGCCCAGGCTGGCCTTGAACTCTGGAGCTCACGTGACCTCCTTGCCTCAGCCTTCCAAATAGCTAGGACTATAGGTGTATACCGCCATGCCTGGTTAAAATTGTATTTTGTATAAATCTCTTCTGTCATTAACTTTTCCTCTATGATCTCCCCAACTGGACTGCAAACTTTCTCAGATTAGGGATTATAAACAAATGTATTTGAAGCAGAATTTTAATAAAAAATTCTGAACACAAGCTAATAATTTTAAGCTCTTTTGCAGAAAACTTTAAATAATTTAAGTAGATAGTCCTGCCTCTAGAAGGTGGAGCACAGTCCCCTTTACTAAGCGTGGGATGCACATAGTGACTTTGTTTTTTAAAAAATCGGTATGGAAAGGAGAGAGTGAGAGAAGGAGCTTTGCAGAGCAGGCACCTGATAAACATGGCCTCAGCTAGGCAACAGGGTCAGCAGTGACAACGACGAGTTGTATAAATAGCAGGTACCTTTCGACCTGATGTGATAAGAGTGGCATTTTATCTTTGTGGTCTTCCTTTCCCAAACCTGTAAGCCTCTGTCTAACCAAGAGAAAGTACTGCACATACCCAAATGCAGGGACAAAATGCCCCATCAGCGCTCCTCAAAACTGTCACAATCATCCTGAAAAAGATACCTACAAATTGTCACCGCCCAGAAGCACACAAGGGACACAATGGCTAAATACAATGTGCTACCTTCGATGATACCTCGGAACATAAAAATGATAATAGGTAAAACTAAGGAGTTCTGAAGGGGGAAAAAAAAGCAAATGTGGAGTCTGGTACTGTTCTGATGTCAGTTTCTTAGCAGTGACAGGTGTACCATAGCAATGTTAAGTCAGGGAAACCTGTGGGAGGTGCAGCGGATCTCTGTGTAATATTCTGTAACCTTTCTGTAAATCTAAAACTACTTGAAAAGTTTATTTTAAAATAACCGTGTGGCCAAGGGATGTAGCTTGGTTAAGGCTTTAAATTCAATCCCAAGCACTACAAAACAAAACACTGCAAGATGAGAAAAGATAATGACTCTTTTTTGCAGGATATTGGGGATCAAACTTGGGTCTTTGTGCTTGCAAGGCAGGTGGTGGAACCACTGAGCTAAATCCCCAGTTCCTGACTCTTTTTATTATTATTAAAAAGACTTCCTATCCCACAAACACCATGCGCTTGGGACCATTTTACTTCTCTACTAGACTGTGAGCACTCTGAGAATACAGCTGTTATTTAATTGATCTCTTTATCCTCAGGGACTAGTTACCGCAGGCACTCAATGAAGGTTGTTGAGTAAATAACTAAACGAATAAGCACACCCTTGGTTGTATTAGCTGAACAAATTAGTGTGCAGGACTCCTGGAAAAAACACAGCAAATGGAAACAAAGCTTTGAGGGGAATGGGATAAAAATAAAAACAAACAACTCAGAGCAAAGCTCCAGGACTCAGCTATAGAGACCAAGGAGATGAGATTTACCAGAACATTAAAAAAAAAAAAATCTGCCTTACTTTATGGGAATAGAAAGACATTCGCAGCTGGGTGAAGTGATACATGCCTCTAACCCTAGCACTTCGAAAGCGGAGGCAGCCATATCGCTGCAAGTTCGAAGCCAGACTGGGCCACAAAGTAAGTTGAAGGCCAGCCTGAAGTGCACAGTGAGACCCTGTCTCCACCCCTCTGCAAACAATACTATGAATTTTAAAGAATTATTGGTTATTATAATTTAGAAAAACAACTTGGTCACGTTATGTTTATTTTATTTATTTTATTTTTTGTTTTTTTGAGATAGGGTCTTGCTATAATTCAGGCTGGCTTCAAACTCATGGTAATCCTCCTGCCTCAGCCTCCTGAGGGCTGGGATTATAGGCACACACGACCATGAGTGGCTACATTATGTTTATAATACTATAGTAATAATATATTGAAATACTATATGTTTTCTGATATTCAAATGTATATATTACATGGAATATAGTATACATATAACAGATAGTACATTTAAAAAATAGTGCTGTTTGAAAAGGTAGGTGAGTATTAGTGGGTTACAAACTGGTAACATTTTTAAAAACTGATAACTATCCTTTTCATAAGTCAAACGAAGAGCACGGTCCCGCAAAGATTTCATGGTGACTAAATATAAACTGATAGCATCTCTTTCTTCTTGGTTCTATTTTAACTAACATCCTTTCAATCCCCAAGCATATCTTTAATATGATTTTTATTGAACAAATGACGTTATAGGAAAATAAACCCTGGATTCCCCCCGTCATAGAAACTACCAGCTTTTTGATTGCTTCTCTGATCTTTACTAAAGTATGGACAGTTTCACAGAGTTGTTATTAATGAATATGGCAATGTTCATTTTCTTGCTTACTAATATTTCTATAGTTTTCCTACTTACTATTTTGTTGTTGTTGTTTGCTTTGTTTTTGGTACTGAGGATTGAACTCAGGTCCTTGAGTTTGTGAGGCAGGTGGCAGAACCACTGAGCTAAATCCCCAGCTCCCTACTTACTATTTTAATGGTTTCCTGCTAGCAATAAAACTGATGTGTCAGTTTACTTCACCATCTCCCAACCCGTAGGTATTAGGGTTATCTCTAGCGTTCCACAAATTTAAATAACACCATTAGAAACTTCTTTGTAGAATTAAAAAAATATATTTTCTTATGCTAAGAAACTTGTATGACCATTTTTATAGCTTTGTTATATTTTATCAGATTACCTTCTGAAAGTAGTCAATACACAAAGAAGAAAATTTCTCATATTTTTAGTGTTCTACAACTTGTAAAGCACTTTCACAAAAATAGCTTTGTTTGATTCTGATACAGGAACTTTACCTGAAGGTCTGTAAGCACCTAGTAGTTTTGCTAATGTAAAGAATGAAGGATTCCAGATAAAAGGACTAACATAATGCAGCGGCAGTAACCAGAGCTTGGCCTCTGTGTCGTTAAAACTAAATGCTGGTTACAAACACACAAAATTTACTTAGCTTATTCTGCCCCTTATCCCAAGACAACAGGGAACAAAATAACTATGAAAATGTGGGTGAAAATGTGTGGGTGGTGCTCAGAGTAGGCACATTTGACAGTGTTCGTAAGGTTCAGGTAAGTGCTAAAAATATTAACTTTGGACTCAATATCAGCATGTGAAAAATTTAAGAGTAGTCACTAAAATAATAGAAATAAAATATCTATCTTCCAAACCAGTAGAGTAAAACAAGGGAATAAAGAAGCTTGACTAGGGCTGGGTATTTAGCTCAGTGGTTCTGCCGCCTGCCTCACAAGTGTAAGGACCTGAGTTCAAACCCCAGTACCAAAACAAACAAACAAACAAAAAACAAGAAGCTTGACTGATCCAGAAAGCAAGTAAGAAGAAAAAGAAGCAAAGGAAAAGCATAAAATAAGATATGAGAAATAAGTCCAAATTTACCAATAATCACAGTAACTGAAAACAGATCAAACTCATCTATTCAAATTAAACTCATCTATTAAAAGGCAAATACTGTTAAATTGTATTAAAATCATTCACCAGCTATTTTCAAGAGATTCACTTAATGCAAAAGGATGTAGAAAGTTTGAAAATCAAGGGATAGAAAGATATACTGGAGAAACAGTCAAAAGAAAACTAATGCACCATCGGGCATGGTGGCACACGCCTGTAATCGCAGCACTTGGGAGGGTGAGGCAGGAGGATTGCTGAGAGTTAGAGACCACCCTGGGCTACATAGTGAGTTCCAGGTCAGTCTCAACTACATACTGAGACCCTGCCTCAAAAAAAACAAAGTAAAAACAAAAACAAAAAAGAAAACTAATGCACCAATGTCAACAGAAAAAAAAAGAGACAGAATTTGTCAGAAAGTATTATAAGGATAAAGTTCACTAGGAGATATAAAATAATATCACATGGTAGTTTTATTTTTAATTACATTAATTTCCTTTTTTTTTTTTTTTTTTTTTTTTTTGGGTTTGAGTAGGACCTTT